CTGAACACTAGACCCTAGAAAACCTTAAACCCTAGAAAACATTAAACCCTAGAAAACCCTAAACCCTAGAACACCCTAAACCCTAAACCCTAGAAAACCCTAAACCCTAGAAAACCCTAAACCCTAAATTCTAGAAAACACTAAACCCTAGAAAACCCTAAACCCTAGAAAACCCTAAACCCTAGAAAACCTTAAACCCTAGAAGGCCTGTATAAAGCCTAATACACCCGAATGAACCTTTGCTTATACACCCTAGTAAACCCTAAACCCTAAACCCTAGAAAACCCTAATAAACCCTTCTAAACCCTCGTAAACCCTCGTAAACCCTCGTAAACCCTAAACCCCCCTAGTATCCCCTCCCTCCCTCCTCCCCTCATCCCTGCAAAAAGGAAGAAGAGAGTTTGTGTGTGTGTGTGTGTGTGTGTTATGTATAAAAAAAACTTAAACCCTTTCTGGGGTTTTTTAGGGTTTAGAGGTATTGATTTCTCTCGTCGAAGAAAACCCTCGAAGCCGTTCTGTACGGCTTCGCGCACTGCAAGCGCTTTCGTGTTTAATAAGAAACCACAAAACAAATGAAATTAATTTTATACAAAGAGGAGGCATTGGGCTTCTTGTTAAAGCCATCAATAGCCAGGATCCCAAGGTATTTATTATATCAGGGTTTATGAGGGTTTATGAGGGTTTAGGGTTTATGAGGGTTTAGGGTTTATGAGGGTTTATCAGGGTTTAGGGTTTATGAGGGTTTATGAGGGTTTATGATGGTTTAGGGTTTATGAGGGTTTATGAGGGTTTAGGGTTTATGAGGGTTTATGAGGGTTTATGAGGGTTTATGAGGGTTTAGGGGGGAGGGGGTATTGGGGTTTGTTAGGGTTTGTTAGGGTTTATTGGGGTTTATTAGGGTTTATCATGTATGGCTTAAGGTTTATGGTTTATTAGGGTTTAGGGTTTATAGGGGTTTAGAAGGGTTTACTAAGTTTTACTAGGGTTTAGGGTTTACTAGGGTTTAGGGTTTGTGTGTTCAGTACCAAGAGAAGAGCTGTTCTTTATTGCGTCACTTAGTGGCTGAG